CACACACACACACACACACACACACACACACACACACACACACACACACACACACACACACACACACACACACACCACAGAGAGTTGATTTCAGCGTTAAGAAATGTGCTGACCTGCACGAAGCAGGAGCCAAGGGCAACAAAACACTAAATACAAACGCTGCTCTGAGCCGGGTACTTTCCCTCCTCAGCTTAGCGTTAAAACTGCGGCTGCTCTCGGGCCAGATGAAAAACGTGAAGCTGTGTGTTTACGTCTGCGTCAAACAAAGACAGACACTTAAGCTTTTGTCTTTCAGCCCCCCTCCCTTTCCCCAATCTTTGTTATTTTCCCCCGTTTTCTCCTGCAGATGATCCCGAGGGTTAACGAGCCACTCGGCTTCCTGCACCATCTGGAAATCCCCTCCAGCTTCCTCCACCTCGGCTGAAGGACCACATCAGGGAGTAAACGTGATAAAATCTTTTATTAGCAACATAAACATCTATACGCACTTATAACGTGCATTAAATTATTTAACTTTTTACAGATAACCTAAAATGTGGAAACTGACATCAGGGGCGTCACTAGGATTCAAGGACAAGGGGGGCTTAGATTTTGTATATTATTTATTTGTAATGTGTGTGTGTGTTTGCATCAAAATGTTGAAATACTATCATATTTACATACAACATAAATAAATTTATGCTTATTATATTCATATTGTAAAATCATTATTTCATCATCATGCTTTTTATAATATATTTAGATAGTGTATTACAGTTAACCCTACTAAGAATATTTAAATAAGTTGTATTCTTCTTATACATGGAGCTTTGATAGCTGTAGGTTTGAGGTTTCCAGTGGAAAAAAAAAGTGTGTAAAACAGTTTTCAGCGAGTTATGTCAGGCTGATACTTCATTGAGCAAACAACTTTTCCAAGATGGTGGCCCGCGGCGCGACAGCAGCATTAGCGGTCCGTCTACCTACTCTTTATGTTCATGGTTACTACCAGCAGTGATGATTAATACTTTCTTGAAAAACTTTTGTACATCCACTTTTCACTGAGCATTCTCCTGGTCTGCTCACTGAGACTTCATGCTGCACTTAGCTGGCTCTGTGTGTAAACATGCTAGCATGCTGCTATTAAGGTTGCAGGGAAAACGTGGACTGAATTTCATGTGGTGGGAGAGTACTCTATGAAAAGTAGGGCTGTGTATTGGCAAGAATTTGGCGATACGATTCATATCATAACAGAGGGGTCGCGATAAGATATATCCCGATATATTGCGATACTGTAAGCAAGGCGATATATTGCGATACTGTAAGCAAGGCGATATATTGCGATACTGTAAGCAAGGCGATATATTGCGATNTAAGCAAGGCGATATATTGCGATACTGTAAGCAAGGCGATATATTGCGATTTTTTTTGTCCAAAAATTCTATTGAATAAAAACCTCTTACTGAAAAAAAAGAAAAGCTAATGTTTACTTACAATGCTAATGCTACCCTTACTCTCTGGCACTCAAGAGGTAGAGGAGCCAAATGGCTGGCTCCCTGCTGCCAACTAGTGGTCAGAGGCTGAACTACAACATAAAAATGAATGGTTGGCAAGAAGTTTGACATTTTAAACCTTAATAAAAAATTGATACAGGGCTTTAGAATATCGATACAGTATCGGGAAATGAAATATCGCGATAGTTCTGTGTATCGATATTTTCTTACACCCCTATGAACAAGTGGACTGGATTGGATAACGATGCACCAAAGAGGATCTCTACCTTACACTTTAAATTAAAGGGAATCTGACAGATTTATGATCATATACTTCAGTTAATAATGAAATTTTAAATGGTTATTTATTCTGACCACATTTTATTGAATTTTTGTAAAAAAAAAAACTTTTTTTTACACCAAAATAATTTAGGGGGGCTCCACCCCCCTAAAATAGGCCTAGTCACGCCACTGATTGATATTAATAACAGATTACATAAGATCTTTATTTCAAACTCTCTGGGCAATATGCATTCCTTCAAAGAATGCATTTATTAGTTTTGCAGCGGCTGTGTTTTTTTTGTACAATAAATCAAACGTGTTATAATTTTAAAAAAAGATGTAAAACAAAAAGAGAACAAAGTAAAGCAATTAGCTGTGGAAAAAGTTGTATAATTAAAGTTTAAATCTTTGAAGGAATCCATGTTGGCACATGCTTTAAATCACAAAGTTTAAAATAAATATGTTAGTGCTTCAAACTCATGGTCCGCAGGCCAAATCTAGCCCCCATTTACATTTCATCTGGCCCCAAAGTTAATACTTTAAATGTGAAATACTTTTAAGGTTTCTCTCTTTTTTTCTTCTCATGATAGTGGACCAACTTTTAAACCAATAAATTAAAGAGTCTGTGACGTGCCTATCCTTTCAATACAAAAAGTCAAAGAAAATATGTTTATATTTGGGAAAATTGTAATAAAACACATGATTTAACCCTTTTGTCACATAACTGGCATATTTTACTTTGAATTTGGCTCAGCTAAATTGACCAGGAAGTGACATCAAAGGGGAACTCTTAAAAAAAGAAAACTCTGGTCTTTGTTTATTGAAACAATATTATCTGAACTCTGACTCTTCTTCATTTCTCTTATAGGGACTAAAATTATCTAAAGAAACATGAGAAGATTCCCTGCTGGCTGTGTTGTTAGCCGTTGTAGCAAAGCTCTGTTTACATGCAGACATTCCTCTTTGACATCACTTCCTGTTACTTCACATGCAAATATCTCAACAACTGTTCATCTCAGTGGTGTCAAATTGCTTTTGCAATATATTATCAATGTTATCTTTCCAAAAGTGCAATCACAAAATGTCACAGACTCTTTTCAGCTTTAGATTTTGGTGTGGAATTTATTTTTTTTAATTTTACCGTCAAATATCTGGATTTTAATGAGCGTTTTCTTCTCTTTTTTTTGACGAGTTGCTTAATTGTGGTAAAACGTATCTCTTTTACACCAATATATTGTTTTAATTAAAGAGTTTTTCTAACGTTGGACAAATAAATAAATAAATAAAAACAGACACTTAGCCGTTAGCCTAGCCTAGCTCAGTAAGGTAAATATTCTTAACTCTTTACCAGAATATCGCTTCAAAACAATCCTCAGTGGAAAAGTTCATGAGATATTTCGCTAACACAATAGACAAAAACACGCCAAGACGGTTAAACTTTCTCAGCAGCACAGGTGAGCATTTGGTCCCTTACCTTGTTCCAGCAGGTGCAGGGTGAGCTGCAGGGCTGACAGGCGGCTGGCGGCAGGGAGGCGGAGCCGGGCGACAGGGAGGCGGAGCCGGGCGACAGGGAGGCGGAGCCGGGCGACAGGGAGGCGGAGCCGGGCGGCGAGGAAGCAGCGGGGGACACGGCGGCGTGAGGCACGAACGCGGTCTGATGGCGGTCAAGGTGAGGAACGGCAGGTTGATCACAGCCGGGCCCTGCAGCTGGTACCTCTCCTCCTCCTCGGTTCACCTGGAAACAAAAGTGAGGCGTCAGGAGGAAGCAGAGCATCATCACCTGTGTCCTGCAGGTAAAACCTGAGTGTGATGCTTTACCTACTCCTCTCTTATACACGCATTTCTGCCATCATTAAAAGTGGCGTTATCTTCTCACAATGACACGTTTTGACATATTTTACTTTAATTCAAACGTTTTTTTTTTAATTTATTCTGATTTAAAATGCAGAAAACAATTAAGCTTCAAGTTATCTTATGTTTGTTTTAATTTAATTAATTCTTAATCAGGTTTTAGGGAAGGACACAATGCAACTAGATGCTTTAAACGTATTAAACACTTTATTAAGATATATATTTTTATTTTCTTTATTTTAAAAACTTTATTCATTTCATAAAAAAACAAAAAAACCTGCTCTGACTCATAAAAAAGTTACTGTGTGCAGCTCATTTAATCGTGTTCTCCCAACTCAAGTTTTTTTACATTGATAATAGTGTGTTTGCTCAAATAATGGTTTTAAAGTAGCAGTAGATTTATTTATTGACAAGATATTTAATGAAATTACTGATTTTTGTGCAGTTTTACAGCTCTTTTTTGAAGCAGTTTGACTTCTTATGTGAACTTTTCTGCAGATTTCAGCAGAAAATCTCTTTTATATCTCAGCATCGTCTTGTTGAACTTGTACTGATCTTGTTCAGCTGTTCTTAAGAAGCTGCTTTCACTTCCTGTAAAGTACCACCGTTAAAACCTTTAAAGCCATAAAGACTATAAAACACTTTATATATCATATCGACATGAGGATTGAGTCAAATTTGGTCAAAATGACCTGATTACATTTTCAGATTCCTGCTTTATAAGCTACATTTTGATACCTGGATCATTCATGATAAGCAGATATTTGACTTAATTTGTCTTGTTTAATGACGACACATTAATATTTGGTCTGAATTAAGGGTTGGGCAAAATTGTGCCGTCATCAGAAAAAAATTGATTTTTTTTTGGCATTTTGACGATTAACACGATTAATGCCAGCAGGCAGACTGACTGGAGATTTCCCCGGTCTGTCTGCTCAACGCTCCTCTCTGCTTCAAATATGACCAACATTTAAAAAATGTTCTTTATTTATCATAACTCCAGTTTTACTGGGTCTATCAACACCTTTTAAAAATTGATGCACAGCCTGAAGTCTGTACTTTTGACACAATTTGGAACAGATTTTTACGGAGAGCAAATCTTCCTCACCACAATGATTTAATTTGGTCATATTTAAAGGGCGTGCAGGTGTCCAGGGACTCCAGGGGATTAATCGTCATATTAATCGTTATCGGCTAAATATCACAATTAATCGTGATTAATTTTTTTGCCAAAATTGCCCAACCCTAGTCTGAATCCTTATTTTATGTCATTTTAACAGTGTTGTATAAAGTACCTCAAAGTGAGTAAAAGTACAAGTATCTTATCATAAAAATACTTTGGTAAAAGTTAAAGTCTTCTCTAAAAATATTACTTGAGTAAAAGTACAAGTATCTTATCATAAAAATACTTTGGTAAAAGTTAAAGTCTTCTCTAAAAATATTACTTGAGTAAAAGTCTTAAAGTATCTTATATTTTTTGTACTTAAGGATCAAAAGTAAATTTCTGACACAAAATCTACTTAAGTATTAAAAGTAAAAGTACTGAGTAAAAGTGATCAGTTACGTTTTACAAAATGACATTTATTGGGAGGTGACTTCTCCAAAAAATATATTTTCTAACAGCGTGCAGCTGTGATGGGTTGTGTACAAAGTAATAGTGTGTCAGAATGGTATATATTTATACTTCTCATCCAAACACAATTAAATTCACTCTATCCAGGAGACACTATTTAAGGATAGTATTTTTTTTTAAAACAACTCAGAATAAAACAGGAGTAACGACTTTCTACTTCTTACCTTTTTTAAAAATGTAGTGAGTAGAAAGTACAGATAATTGTGTAAAAATGTAACGAGTAAAAGTACAAAGTACGCTGAAAAATAATTACTCAAGTGAAATACAGATAACCAAAATTTCTACTCAAGTACAGTAACAAAGTATTTGTACTTAGTTACTTTACAACTCTGCATTTTAATGAGATTCTTTTAAATGTAATTATAACGACGAAAGCTCAAATAGTATTTGAAAGAAACAAAAACGTTGCTAGCTCGGAGGGAAAATATCAAATGTTCAGGCTTTTTAAGAATCAGATGCTAAAAAAAAAAGTGCTTCCTGATTATATTTCACAGTTCATTCATATGATACATTGATTTATTCATTATAGTTTGACAATGTTTTAATCAAAATACCACTTTTAGGCTCAATCTTTGTTTTGATGTGAGGGGTCACATATTTTATTCATATTTCTGATTCTGATTAAAGATCTCAGTTCTGATGGTTTGTTGACAAACAGCTAAACCTGAACATTACTGAACTTTATTTTTTCACAAATTAAAGGCGTTTTGATTGAAGCCCATGTGTGACCTTTGACCCCGGGCTTTCCGGGCCCTCACCTGCAGGATGTCCTGGATCTGACCCAGCTGCTGCCTCAGCACCTGCTTCTGGTGGAAGCTGAAGGCCGGGTGGTTGGAGGCCATGGTGAAGAGCAGCAGGAACTGCTCCTCCGTCCTGCCGTCGTTCAGCGCCAGCCCGTAGTTGTTTATCACCGCGTCTATGTGGGTCAGGGTCCGGTACAGGACCCCCGCGGCCTCCCGGCTGTCCGAGCCCAGCAGGGCCAGGGACACCAGCAGCTTGCTGCGCACCACCTCGTCCGTGATGTTGGTGAGGCCCGACAGGTCCGCGGGGTTGTTGGCCTTGATCTCCGCGTCCCGCAGGGAGTGATAGTCCTTGCGGGCCAGGTCCTCCAGGCAGGAGCCGAGGAACCGGAGCTCCACCGGGACGCAGAGGTCCAGCAGGCCGCACAGGAACTCCGCTCTCTGGGCGGAGGTGAGGCAGGAGAACCAGCGGTACACCTCCTCCCTCTGGACGCAGCCCCGGCTCTCCACCATCCTCCGGCTCCGGCGGATCAAACTCTCGGACTTTCAAAGGAAAACTCCACATCAAAGGGAGCGCGCCGCGCCGCGCGCGTGCGTAAAAGCGTCCAGAACGCTCTTTGTCAACTTCGTCCTGCAGTGTCCTCTTCTCTTTTTAAAGCCTTTTCTTTTCCTCACGTGAATAAAAAGAAGGAAGCAAACACTTTGGATGCTTTTCTCCAAAATAATAAAGAACAGAACCTCACCAGAACCGCCTCAGGAGGTTCGGACGGTTCGGGTTTATTTTTTTGTCCTCTGCGCCGTGTCCCCCGCCGCCGCTCGGACCTCAGCTGTTTTCACATAGAAACAAACTAACTAATAACAAAAAAGACTCCATTCAAAGAAACCCCGAACCCTCCCGAGAGTTTTGGGTCGGAGCCGCACGTCCGTCACGGCCGCTGCCGAACCCCACTGTCCTCATGGCTACCAGCACGAGACGGCAGCACGAGCCGGGCCCGGGGATAAAGTTTAAAAACAAAAACAAGCTGCAGCTAATGCTAACCTAGAGTTAACACGCACGGAACATCAAACCCTCTGACACGTTACGGTAAAAGTTTAATTCTCTGTCCGTAAATGAGTTAAAAACTGGAGAATCCTCTCCGTGTTCCGATTGGACTCCAAAAACCAAGAAAAAAAAAAAAAAAGAAAACAGCTGTGGATAACATTATACCAAGTCCGGCAACAAGTCCAACCCACCGTGAAGAATAACCTCCTCTGATTGGCTATGAGACCTGTCATTATCCTGACCGCGTCTCCTGATTGGTGCAGAGAGATTTCTCTGACTTCTCCTGGAGTTTTGGGCTCTCGAACCAGAACCTGGTTCGGCTGGTGCTTTAAGACGGTCAACATCATGAAACGTCACATCTTTAACAAACTGCACATCATGTAGGGAGATTTGAAGGGAATAATTAAGCTAAACATCTTGCTATAATAAAATATGTTAGACTGTTAAAACAAACTTGTTTGAAATTTAATAATAAATTGGTGTAAAAATATTTTTGTTAAAATGACCTAAATGTAACAGATGAATCAAACTAAAATGACTAAAACTCGTTAGCACTCCCTTGTTTAAAAAAAAAGTTGACTTTATGTAATTTACATGTGTCCAGAAGATGGCGCCAGAGGCCCTTTTTTAAAAAATGAGCAGAAAACACTGCGGGCAAAGTATCTCTAATTTAAAAAAAAATACGACCAAATAACTTATTTTATATCATAAAACTTATTTTTATCATAAATTTAAATGTATCTGTTTCTACCTGTAACAACACTTCTTTACCTCACCTGCGCTCTTTACCAAACAGACCACGCCCACATCGTTAAACCCGCCCCCTGCTGACGGAAGAGAGTTTGTGGATGTTGTTATAGCAACCATATTCCTCCTTCCCAAACAGGCACACTCCCTTATTGCATCAGGGATGCTGCTGCCACACACACACACACACACACACACACACACACACACACACACACACACACACAATAATTCCTCCTGGGATGAAGCAACAATGAGAGCATCTGGTTAATCTTTGAGCTGCAGCACCTGCTTTACCTGCTGCTTACACACACACACACACACACACACACACACACACACACACACACACACACACA